TAAAAGGACGAAAATAACCTACTAGAGGGATCTAATTGGATCAAAATTCAAGGATCAAAGGATACAATTGCAGAAATTCTGAAGGCTGAGGACCAAAAAGTATGTACCACACCTGGCTGTCCTTCCCACATTTTCGGCTGCAAAAGAAAATTGTCCCAATACGTTACTCCATAATTAGGCAACCAATTCAAAGAAAAGAACAAAGAGAAGAGAAGCGTGTGAGGATGACAGATGGAGGGTGATATGGAGAGGAAAGCAGATCAAGGTTTGTAAATCAAAAGAGGAGTATATAAATGAAGAGAGAGTAGGAACTTGGGGGAACTGATTCTGGTTTAACGGTTTTGGGAAGAGAGAGATCTGTTTTGGCAACCTAAAAACGCAGAGAGACTAGCAAATAAGAGGGGGCAAAGGTTTTAGGAGGATTTTGATTGTAGAGTTTTTCCAAAGAAACTCTCTGAATTGAAGACCAAAAACATAGGAGATACGAGAGAGAGAGAGAGAGAGAGCCGCGAGAACTGAAAATTTATGGCTTGAGTTTTGAAGGAGAAAACAAGGAAAAGAAGGGAAGTTGGTCCTCATTGCCCACAAAAGCTTCGAAAGATAAAAACGCTTTCATCCATGATTTATTTCCTCTCTCTAAAAATCTTCTCCTAAGCTAAAAATAATGGATGGAAATCAATTTTAGAGCAAACTTCATGGATATGTGAAGAAGAGGGTGAAATTTTAGAGGTTAAAACCAACCACAAAAAAAAAGGGGGATGCATTTTAATGAAGCTTTGGGTGATTTTGGTTCCTGTTTTTGTCCAGTATACGAGGAACTCTTAAAGTTTGATCCTCAAGCTTATAAGACTTATGTTGTTGGGCCCCTAATGGGAATGATTTGATGGGAAAAATAGACAAGGTTTTAGTACTACGGCTAGTTTTGGTCTTCACACATTTTTACAGTCCTGCTTTGAGTATTTTAGTCTGAGATTTTTAGAACTTGTACGTATGATTGTTCATGATTGGTGTTTTAAGTTTCACAATTTTTGAAATACGTATACTGTTTATTTGATATTTATTTGATATTCTGTTTTATTTTTAATTGTTTTTGTTGCTTGTTTATGGATTTAATTATCTAGCCCTTTGTTTAGTTTTGTTTTAATCTGAAATTTTTAGAATTTGTTCATGTATTATTAATCAGAATGCAATTTAAGTTTCCTAATTTTTGGTGCTTATTTTCTATTAATTTCTTATTTATTTAATATTCTGTCCAATTTTCATTATTAGTATAGTTTATTTGGCCCATTTTTTAGTTTTATTTTAAACTGAATATTTTAGAGTTTGTTCATGTATTGGTTATTGGCATCTATTTAAAGTTTCATATTTTTAAAAGTCCATTTACTATTTATTCACTATTTAATCGTTATTCTACCTCACTTTAATTATTAGGGTAGATTATTTGTGGGATTCAATTATTTGATCCTATTTTTAATTTCTGATTTATCTGAAAAATTTTGGGGTATGCTTATGTATTTGTAAATAGATTGTGTATAAAGTTTCATAATTTTATGAGTCCATCTTCTATTTATTTTATATTTATTATTATCCTATCATTTACCATAATTATTAATGCATTTTATTTCAATAGTTGATATTTTAATTCTAGTAAATTTTATTATTTTAATCTGAAATTATTAGATTTTGTACATAGGTATGTTTAAGTCTTGTTTCTTAATTTCTGTAATTTTATGATTTCATTTGCTCGTTTATTTTGAATTTATTTATCATTTGATTGCCATTTTAATTATTAATGTGATCAGTTTCAAAATTTAATTTTTATACTCATTATCCTTTATTTATTTTAATCTAAAATTTTTAGAGTTTGCACCCATGCTAATTCTCAATTTGAATGTTAATTTTCATCATTTTTTAAATGTATTTGCTATTTGTTTGTAATTTATTTTTAATTCTCGCTGTAATTTTTAATGTGATCCATTTAGTATTTAGTTAATAAGATGAGAGATCGTCAAGTCTCCTAGATTCAAGAGACTAATGATGATTTCTCATCAAATCCATTGTGCTAAGAAAAATACACCTTCTTAGGATAGTTAGGGAATTCAATTTGACCCAACGAGTCTTCTATTTAATAAAGACGGATGTTATTCTTAACGCGTTGATAAAAAAACAAAAATCATCTAAGGTAAATAAAAATATTATTATTTAATTAAGTTGTTCCTTAACATACCGGTCATGTCAAAACTGAATTGGATCCAATGCTAAATTTATGAGAATCCCAACTTTGGAGCTCAAAACCAATTTAATATGATGCCACAAAAAAAAATAATTTGACTTAGACAATAAACAAATTTGGAAATGGACTTAGGAAATAATTTGAAAAAATTAATTCTTAGGAGATATATTTTTTGGATCAAATCAAACATGATACTTTTTCTTAGAAAAAGTGTCTTTGGGTGATTGTTATCTTCTAAAAAACATAATCAACTCCTTACTCAAAATCTCTCGAATCTAGTGTCTCTCTTAGGTTTTTTTTAGTTTCTTTAAATATTAGGTAGCAACTTCAAAATCTTTATTAACTCTCATCCCTTAAAGCAAAAATAAGTATTTTTCATAATTTTTTGGAAGTCTTCTAAATATCGGATAGCGACATATACAATAAATATACAAGATAACTACATCCATGCAAGAAAAAAGGGAACTAGGTTGGATGTACCAACTTGATGTTGTGAGTCTCATATCATGAGTAACATCACAAAAGAATTTGTGTCTTAATGGGTTCAACCCAAATAGATAAAATATAACTTTTCCGACATGGTTTTGATAAATTTGTCTAGTCCCGAAAGCTTTTCAATTCTCCAGATTGTCTAAATTATTGGTGGCGTAACATAACTTTTAACCTTATGCAACGAGAGCTATAAGAAGGTCATTTTGCAATTTCTCATGCATAGAGCGAGTTTTCAATCCAAACAAGAACCTAAATATGCATCAAATGACTTTTGTCATACTTGTCATCCAAATATCTATATCTAAGTCCTAAAGGTTTTTTTTTTTTTTTTTTGCTCGGATCTAGTGCTTTAGCGAGGCTTTTTTCGAGTTTTTCTCATGATGTGTGTGTAGCAACATCAAATTTCTTAAATTTAAAATGATAATAAATAAATACTTGAAAAAATAATTTAAAATTAAAATGGAAAATATAACTAAAAGTGATAAATTAAAAAAAAAAAAAAAAGGCTAAACCTATAGTCTAACTGCGAGTCCCTAATAGAGTCCTTATGTCGTCACTATTCGATATTTAAGTGACTTTCAAAAATTTTATAGAAAATGGAAAAGAATTAAGAAAAATATTTGAAGTCACCATCTAGTATTAAAGGTAACTAAAAACCTAAAAGAGGCATTGGATTCAAAGATTATTTGCAAAAAATTTATTATGGTTTTAGAAAGATAACAATCAATCAAAAGCATAATTTTCAAGAAAAGGTCCCAAGTTTAGTCTAATCTTATTAATATCTCCTAAAAATTTCATTTACCAAATTATTTTCTAAGTTTATTTTCCAAGTCTATTTATCAATCAAGTAAAAAAAAAAAAATTATCGTGACATTGTATTAAACTAACATTGGACTCCATGGTTAGGAGTCGTGTTAATTTATCATCGGATATAATTACATCCTAACATAACCGGCATGTAAAGGAACGACTTAATTAGCTAAAAGATAAATTTGTATCTATCATAGCTAATTTTCTTTTTATTATTATTATTATTATTATTATGGATCAAGACAAACATCAATCCTATTCAAATAAAAGACTCGTTAGGTGACTTAAATTTTTCTAATTACCCTAAGATGACGAGTTCTTTTCTAATTACAATCTAAATTTGATCCGAGATCATCATCAATCCCCAAAATTAAGGAGAGTTAACAATCTCACATCTTGCTAAATGAATTTAAGAACTTTAATAAGTAAAATAAATTATAAGCAGGGCATAACAAAAAAGTAATGTAAGCATAAAACGAAATCTAAATTCAACAAAAATTTTTAGACAATCCATTAGTACTTACCCCACCTCCCCTAAAAGTTTCAGATTTTACTAAGATCTGACAATGGATCAAATAATTAAATTTTAACAAAACCTCTCTAATGATTAACATAGTGGCAAAATAATAGATAAATTATAAAAATAATAGAAAATGGCTACCAACAATTACAAAATTTAAAAAACAAGCTAAAACTAGATATGTGAACTAATCCTAAAAAAATAAGATTAAAATAAAATAGGAGATTAGACTTAATAATTAAATTTCGAAACACATTCACATTAATAATTAAAATCATGAAAGAATAATAAAAAATTAAAAAAATAATAGTAAATATACTCCAAAAAAATACGAAATTTAAAATACAAGTTAAAGTTGGATATGCAAACTAGTCCTAAAAAATTTAGATTAAAATAAAATAGAATACTTGTTTTAATAATTAAATTTTGAAACACATTTACGTTAATAATTAAAATAAGGATTAATCGTATCAAACGTCCCTCTATTTTTTTTAATTTTCTTAATGTACCTCCTTTATGTATTTATTTTTTATTGATCATCTCCCTCTACTTTTGAATTTTTCTTAGTGTGGCTCTTCCGAACGTTTTTTGGCTAATTTTATGATTGAAATTGACATCTGAAATAAAAAAAAATTCATGTGGTGTGATATGTCAAATTAACTCGACATGTGAAAAAAAAAATTCAATCAGAAAAATTAGCTGAAAATAGAAATTTTAATATATATATATATATATAGACATATATAAAAAAAAAAAAAAAACAAACTTCTTCTATCTAATTTGCCATGTTTATCAACTTGTTAGCTTTGAAGATAATAAATCACATTATATATAATTAACGCTTAAATATATAAATTTAATTGGGATCTTTCTTTTTTACTCAAAGTAGGTTTTAGGAAGGCATTCTTCAAACTAATTGGCCATGTTCATTTTGTCTTCGTCTTCATGGAATTTAGATCCTTTCAATTCTCAGAACTGACAACAGTTAACCTTTTGCAATCAAGGGAAAATGTGAGTGTGGATTAAAGATTTGTAGAGATTGTTATTTAGATTGTGAGTGGTCTAGTGGTGGGGGTCATTGTCCTGGTTGCGAGGAACTACACAAGGATGATGATGAGGAGGAGGAGGATGACGATGATGACGACGACGATTATGATCATGATGAGGCTAAAAGTGATCCTGATTTTTATCATACTACGTGGTTGTTTGAGACGAAGGAGACTTACGGGTATGGAAATGGTGGGTGGCCTAAAGATGGGTATGGTGCTGGGTCAGGTGCTAATCGATTGCCACATGAAATTTTTCTATGATTTTCTCCACAATTTCCACAACACCATTCTTTGTCGCAATTAATATGGGCGTCTCTTTCATTTTCATTATAGGGGTTTTTGGCTTCTTTTTTTTTTTTTGACATCAACACTATATTATGTTTATTCAAGTTCATGTTTTCCACTGCAAAAATGTTTTGTATTTTCTCCAGCATTTCAGTTACACCATTCTTTTCTGCTGTCAATAATTGCATCTTCATCTTTCTCTGTTTCAGAAGGTTTATCCTTCCCCCTGCCAATGACACAAGTTGCAATTTATGTATGGCCAAAATAAAGTGAATATTATCATGTTCACAAAAATTTTGATTTGGGAAGTCAATTTGAAAGCAAAAGCCTGGATTTAATGGAAAATCGAAAAAAAAAAAAAAAAGGATGGGTTTCTATTTGATACTTGAACTGTGATTCTTGAACTGTGATTCTTGTTTCTTTTCATAGGATACTTGGGCCAACCTTACACTATGTAACTGTTTATCAGTTTTGAGAATTGGAAGGATTCTAAATTTTATGGAGAAAAGGAGAAAATCGCGAAGAGAGGAGAAATGTATTCTTTGTTGTTTGATCCAGCTTAGAGGTGAGAGGAAGAATTTTGTTTTTATACTCTTTTTTTTTTCAGCTAAATTTTCAGATTTAAAAAAAAAATTAGTTTTTTTTCCACATAGTGAATTAATCTAACATGAAACGCCAAGTGGATTTTTTATGACAGTTATTAATTTCAATTGAAAATTTAGTTGAAAAACAGTTGGAGGGATCACATTAAGAAAAATTCAATAATAAAGGGAAGTGATCAATTAAAAAAAAATGTAAAAGGACCACATTAAAAAAAATAAAAAAACAGAAAGCCGTTTGATGCGATTAATCCATTAAAATAATAACATAATAATACATAAATTATAAAATAATAGTAAATAGACTAAAAAATTATGAAATTTTAAAAATAAGATAATAACAAATATATGTACCAACCCTAAAAAGTTCAGATTTAAGTGAAATTGAACATTGGACCAAATAATTAAATTTTGAAACAAATCACACTAATAATTGAAATAACGAGTAGAATAATAAATAAATTACAAATAAATAGCAAACGGACTTCTAAAATTAAGAAAAAAAAAACTTAAGTACAAGCATATGTATGAGTCCTAGAAATTTCATATTAAAATGAAATTAGAAACTAAACTAAATAATTAAATTTTGAAACAACTCATATAAAATTTCGACTTAGGGTTTAAAGGATGATTTAGGAGTTTTGTTTGGAATAGTTGTGAGGCTTTTTGGCCGGTGGCTTGAAGTTTCTTAAGGTTGTTTTAGAGGCTGGATAGTGGTGACGGTAAGTCCGGACAATGGTTGTAGCAAAAGGGTTGTTTGGGCTGTATCTTCTAAACCGATTTTGTATCAAATGGAGGTTTCTTTTGGTCTTGGGCTCTCCATAAAGATTGTAAGTTTGAATTTTTTTCTTTCTTCGGGATTTTGAATCATCACAATCCAATTTATATAGCTCTTGATACGGTCCAAACACTAAGTAGTGTTCTGGATTATCACGGGATCTAATTTTTTAACTCGACTTTGCATCAAATTTTGATGAATCAAATCAAAATGAATTTGTACGTTTAAACTCAATCTGAAAATTTTAAAATGTCTACTTCAAATTCCAAATAAGTCTCTTTGTTGTTCTATATCTCTAAGAAGGTAAAATTTTAAAATCTTCCTCCAAAGGTCAATATGCCAATAATAGAAATTCGAGTTTAGTTTAAGGCGAGTTAGTGGCCAAATTTTGGTGGTTGTTTTAGGAAAGAAGGCTATCGGATTTAGGGCTAATTTGAGAGAGCTTTTGGAGGGTTTTGTGTGGCTTAGATTGTAATGGTCATAAATGATGTGTGGAAGGTTTTTTTTTTTTTTTTCGGTAGTTGATTGTGGTGGTTTTATGGGAGAGATGAGTAGAGAGAGTTTTTTCTTCTCTCTAGGTTTTTGTTCTCTAAGAAAAAGATGAATGACCTCCTTCTAAGGTTTTCTATGTGTAAATAGAATTTGATATATATTAAAATTCATGCCTAGATTATTTTCACAATTGAATCATTAAATTATAAATATAGGTATAATCTCAAATTGTTGTTTCTAACATATAAAAAAGAAACATAATTAAATAATAAAAACTCACACAAAAACTAAATAAATCAATTATAAATTAACATGAAAATGAAATGGAATATTTTACCTTAATCATTAGGAAATTTAGGGATTAAATCACATTAGCATATTTCGTTTTATTAAATTGACCAAACCATCGTAATAGTTTTATCGAACTTTTAGATGACTCGACTTGAAACAAAATTAGATTGCTTTTTTGAGACCAAATACATTGTTTGTAGAATTTATTTGACATAACGGATCAAGTATATATTGCTATTCATTATTCATATTTCATGTTATAAAAATAATCAAACCATCATAATAGTTTTATTAGAATTTTTAGATGATTGACATGAGACAAAATCGGATTGCTTTTTTTAGACTATATGCGACGTTTGCGGAATTTATCTCACGCAACAGATCGAGTATATATTATATACCATCTTAAGAATATAATAAAGTCATCTATTTTGCTTTATTTTAACTAACAAGTTTGTACTATTTATAAAACTTAAAATTCTAAATAAAATAAAATAGTATCACTCTTATCTGAATATATAATATAAAACATAATTAAAATACTATGATTTTTTAATAGAAGACTAAATAAGACAAAATAAAATTATATGATAAGCAATATAAAAGTTTGCTGCATATTGCTTTTTCGTGTGTATTTCATAAAGGAAAACATGGCCTCCATATATAGGCTTCCTAGAAGATCCGTTTGAGAAAAGAACTAATTGCAGTCATTATTTCTCAAACGGTAAAGTACGGTTAATTCTCGTAAAAAACGGTAACGAATTTTTTTTTTTTTTTTTTTAATGTAAAGCATGCAACCGTTCAGGAAGAAAACAATAAAGGCTTTGGTTCTTTTTATTGTACTATTTCAACAGTGCATTCAAAACAGTACCTTTTACTTTTTTTTTTTCAAAATTATCAGTATAATTTAATTTTTTTTATATTTTTATAAAAATACTCTAACATAACGTATTGTGTAAAACATCTTTTTGTTCGTTAAAGAATACAAAAATAAATAAATAATATTGAGATGTTCAGCAACATACATGCCAAATACTTCGAATAAAAATACAATATACTTGAAATGTTTAATTATATATATGTATTTGTGCTTTGTTGTTTCTTTTATAATAAATAATTTTAATAATAAGAATGTATTATAAGAGTTTGGATTGATCAACAAGAATTCATCTCTCCGATTACACATTATTTAATACATAGAAATTCAACATTTTAATCTTACAAAAACCAATACTTCATTAGATATTATGTTTAAACAGATTATATGAGGATATAAAAATTAAATAATCCATCCATTTGTAATATTTATTTTTAATAAACACAATGTCCCACCTGGACGACATCTTCATAAGACCATTTGCTAGTAGAGCATGGTAAGAAAGTCAATGATATGCATATGAAAATTCAGCTATCAATGGGACTGAGGTTCGACCCAAACCTGATCCAACCCACAAACAGGTCTATCAGTGATAGACACTAAGAAATCACTGTCGGTAAGTCAAACGATCCATTGATTCTGATTTTTACTGTTAGAACTTAGAACTTGGGAAGCACAAGTCCATAGCGTTACAAAGTCTGGTGCTTTACTAAAAAAAAAAATTATATATATATATCATATAATTTTAAAAAATTATTAAATTTTATATCATATGGGCTTCTTCTTTTTTTGTATTTTCTTAAAATATTTTTTTCATTAAAATTATTGATTATTAAATTTAATCTTATATTATATGAAATCAGTATTAATTTTAAAAAAATCTATCTAAAATTAAGATAGTAAATAAAAAAATATTAAATTGATTAACATTAAATTTAAAACAATTATTAAAAAATAACATAGTAATATAAATATTTTTACTTTTAAAATTTTAGCATGTAATAAAATTTTTATAAAAATTTTTATTTTTTTGTTAAAGATATTTTTGCATATAAAAAGTAAAAAAAATAATAATAATGATTTTTTGTAAGCGAAGAAAAGAAGAAAGAAGGAAGAATTGAATTTTTTTATACTTGAAGAAATTTTTTATCATGAATATATATATATATGGGACCGAGGGAGTAAATAATAAATGAATGGTCCAAACTAAGCCACATATGCCAACAATAGGATAGACCCAAATTTGCAGTTTTCCAAAGCCAGCGACACTCAGCTGGCTTCAAGCCACAGCAGCCGCCTAAATAGAAAAAAAAACTCTGTAAAAAAAATTAAATATAATCCAACATCTGACTTACTACACGACGTGTCTCCCATCGAACCGTGGATCTTTAGACCCCACCTACCATCCAACTCTCCTCAAACCCCCACGTGTCCCGACTCTTATCGACAAATTAACGGACCAAAATCTCCCAGGTGGCATCCGCGATGCCATATTACCCCCATAATCCAACGGACGCCAAAACACCTCCTGCTTTCTCTCCTCTCCCCTCTCTCTTTCTCTCTCCACCTCTACCGCCGCCTTCCTCTCTCTCCCGCCCCCAATTTCCCTGCCAATCGTTTTGGTTTCCCAATTTACCCCTCACCCTCCCGCCCTGCAAACCCGGATATTGAGCTCTAATTAGGTAATTTAATTTTTAGAAAATTACTGATATTGTTATGGCGGATTCAGATAATGAATCAGGAGGACACAACAACGCCCTGAGTGAGCTGTCTTCAAAGGAACAAGACAGGTTCCTGCCAATTGCAAACGTAAGCAGGATAATGAAAAAAGCTCTGCCTGCAAACGCCAAGATCTCAAAAGACGCAAAGGAGACAGTCCAGGAGTGTGTGTCGGAGTTCATCAGCTTTATCACAGGAGAGGCTTCAGACAAGTGCCAGAGAGAGAAGCGGAAGACCATCAACGGTGACGATCTGTTGTGGGCCATGACGACGCTTGGGTTCGAGGAGTATGTGGAGCCCTTGAAGATTTACTTGCAGAAGTATAGGGAGATGGAAGGAGAGAAGAGTTCTATGGGAAGACCAGCAGGGGAGAAGGATGGTCCTGGAGGCGGTGGTGGTGCTGGGTCTGGTGGGAGTGGTGGTGGGGGTGGGGTTAATTCTAGCGGCGGTGGAGGTGGAGGGTTTAATGGTGGTGGCCAAGGGATGTATGGTGGGATGATGATGATGGGTCATCACCATCAAGGACATGTGTACGGTTCTGGTGGGTTTCATCATCAAGGTAACTCAAGGTAGATAATGGTGATGATGCATAGCAGTAGTAGTACAAGAGAAGTAATGTGAGGTAAAAACTGATGTTAGGTTACTAGATTGAATGTGTGCTAATTGAGGGAAAGAGAGAGAGAGAGAGAGAAAGAAAGAAACGTGGAAAATGTTTGTACTAGTACGATGATAAAAGCATTATTTTCACATGTAGAGAAACAGGTATATTACTTTCCCTCTCCAGTAGTAGATGTTAATTTTAGTAATGAAAAAGGTGTTTTAGTTAGTTGTTTCAATGTTCCTGCAACATTTTTTGGAAGTTCAGAATCAGATCAGAGCAGGGTTTTAATGCTTTTCTTTACTGTTGTCGGTAACTGTGGCATCATCATTCATGGGAGTTGGAATTGGAGGAGTTTTGGAACTAATGGAATGGAAATGACAGGCTTTCAGCTTCTTCTGACAGAAGAAAGAAAAGGAAAGGAGGTGTCTTATGTTTGCTCGCAGCCAACCTTTCTTTTTTTAGAAAGGTAAATTTATGTCCTTAGTTTGCCATTTGTCACCGTGGTCTCTACTTTCTTTCTGCTAACTCTGTAGTAGGAGCACTAAATAGGGAAACGATGATGATTCCATCTGTTTCTAAAGTGAGCAAATCTTTCGAACCAACCATATACTTCTCTGGTTATATTCCATTTTTATTCAGTTCGGTGGTTTGCTGTTTCAAGGTCGACACCCTCTATATATATACAGCTCTGTTTCATTGCTGTGCAGACAGGTGTTGGGAAATTGGGAGAACAGAACAAGTATAATAGAGAAATTAATGGGACTATTTTGTATATGATCAGTTTGTGTTAAAAAGGAGCTTTCTGGAAAGTTGATTTTAAGTATGGTTGTTTGGGCCGCTTTATGCCTGCTTTTGAACGACCACCCATTATCCAAGTAGAATAATTCAATAGTAATTGGAAGAACAAAATTGCTATGCTCCCCATTCAATTGTTCAAGTTTCTCAACTTTTTATCTTATGGGGCGGTTCTTCCACTCGGGCGTCCTTGTCTCCCATTTGACTGGCTTCCACTTACGAGTTACAGCAGAGTCCCTAGTTTTCCATTAATTAAATCGTTTGATCACTAAAGCTTAGAATACTGAATAAACATAATAAATAAATAAATGATTACGGTATTCAAGTTTTATTTTTTCTAGGGTAATAAGAGGATTTTCGTAACAATAATTATTAATTGTAAATTTTTCATTTTATTTTAAATGGAAATTAACGGAATACATGTCTAATACGAGAAGCAAAATGGATTGCATTATAATGTTTTCTTAGTTCAACTTGTACATTCTCAAATTCAAAGTTAAAGGGGATGATTAATCCCACTCTTCAGTCTCCACATTTACCACTTGCATGATTTGCGCAATACTTGAATTTTGTCTGTTAGTATGATATGGCTGGTAAAGTTCTGCAGGAACGTGTATGGAAACACCGTGAAAAGGGACAAGAAAAGGGAGGTTTGTTAATTTCTCGTCTGTTTCCACCTTGACCCAGAATGCAAAATTTCAAAGCATAGGATCTGATCATTGGTTGTTGGAACTTGAGAAAACACTGAAGAAAATAAGTCCGGGCAAGTCCTACCTACTAGCAAGGTGGAGAACGTAATGCCCTCCCCCATCTTCCACTTCACTTTGTGTTTGTGCGCCTGTCTTTCCACGACGACTTTTCTACTTGAACCGCGCGGAAAGAGCTTATTGGATCACGTGTCCCTTTTATAAACGAGGAAAAGGAAGGAAGACAATAGACAGCATATGGGAGCTCTATAACGAGCTTACAAACTCGTAATAACCTCAGATTGTAGACAAAATTTCCACGAGTAAAATTGCATCCCAGTGCTTGTTTTTTGAAGGTAATAGTTATTATTTCAAAAAAAGAAAGAAAAGAAATCCCATATTACTCCAGCAATCTTATACTTGCATACAAATTATATAAATATATGCAATAATTATGAAACACCTTGTCAAACTAAAAATTTAAACCGATAAATGAAGTTTTAAGAATAATTTTAATTATATAATTATGTTAGGTTAAGTATTGTCAGTAAATAGAAATTTAAATGCATGACAAATTGTTAGGTAAAATTTCAAAAACAGTTTAAACTTTTATGTTATATATATATATATGTGTGTGTGTGTGTGTGTGTGTGAACTATGTAAACTTAAAATGAAGAGTATATAAACCTCGTAAACTTTAATCCTTATGTAATGGATGGAACATGAGAAGGTAAAGATCATATATTTTTTGGTTTGGTTGCCTTTATTCCCGACAACTATCGAAATCTATTTTTCATTTATGTTGTATCAATAGAGGAGTAATTAGTTGGGACTTGAAGTTCTGTTGGGCTAAAGTTAATTGTCAAATGAAGAATGTTCTATGCGTTCTTCTTAGACTAGCCTAGTGTGTCACCATTTATCAAGCATGGAAAGAGAGGAATTGCAGCCATAATGGAAAAATTTGTTGTTGGGCGTGAAAGGCAGAGTCTACTGCTCTATCATGTTAAAAGAGGCTGTCATTAGTTCTAAATATGCTTACCTTCTAGGAAATTGACAATTTCATAACTAATTTTTATATAGTTTTTTTTCTCTCGTTATGGATTTGTTTCCTTTTGGTTTCTGGCTTTTGAGCCTCTTATCTAACATTCTTTCTTTGGGCTCTGCCGTTTTTTAGTCCCTTTGATAGTGAAATCTTTCATTCGTCGAAAAAAACAGAAGGCACCTAAGGAAGTGAAATCATGATCTGCAAAATATGATGGGAATTGGACTTACATGTTGAGACTTGAGAAACCTTTGTGTGTGACTAAAACTGGTTAGTGGGCCTAATTTTAAGGCTCATAATTTGCTTCGATATTTATGCTTTATCTTTAATGCTGATAGGACGTCACATAATCTTTCCAAAAAACCCAAGACCACTAAGAACCAAGGTTAGGTTAAGAGAGGTCTGGGTTCCAAAGTTGGCTCCATAAATACAGAAATCTAGTATGGTTTTAGCTTTTCTGTTTTTTGTTGTTTTTTTTTTTCAAGGTTGAAGAAGACCATAACTCCAACACTTCTCAGATTATTAGGTTGTTTCTCTAACATGCTATTACAAGTCGAATTCTGAAAAACCACAAACAGACTCAACACAAAACTCCAAACCTACCTCCACCGTTTCGACCTGAATCAAGGACCTGACTTATTTATTTAGTTATTTCTCAAACATGTTTTTACAGGTTCCATAGTTGGATCAATTATTATAATAATAAATTTAACTTGGATAAATATAAATTGTCATGTTGTATAGCAAGTGTTTTTATAACTAAGTCGTAACAAAGTATGTGGAGTTAGAAAAAAAAAACATGGATTGAAATCCCAATCCCAAAATGCATGGGTTAAAAGTTCAATATGGCATTTTACCGTTTCAAATGTTTTAATGGTGTCTTCATATTAAAATTTTCAACTATCACATTCCTTTATTATTAATTACATCTGTATTTAGTCTCTTTGATCACTTTTTTAAGTAATTAAGATAATTTTTGACCCATTTTGTTTTATTATCTTTGTTTTCATTGTTTAAAAAATAATCAAAAAAATCAAATATAAACACAATTAAAAATAGAGAGATACAATAGTTAAAAAATTTAATAGAAAGACATGATTAAGATATTTAAAATAATAAAAAAATATCCTAAAACTTTAACCTCAAAATACTTCGACATGTTGGTTTCAATGAGTTAAATATATATATATATATAGTTGATAAAAGAGGACCAAGTTCAAATCTTATTCTAACCAATTTCCTTTTTTTCCTTTTTTTTTTTTTTTTCCTCCAAAAATCAACCTTTGCCTCTGTCAGTCTTGATTGGTTCGATTGGATTTTGATCACATCGACCGAGGTTGGTCAAATCAATTTGTTGGCCGGTCTGTTACAAATCCAACCCGATTTAATTTCCAAACCATTAAGTTTTTGGATCAATCTATCAAATCAGGTCTACTCTGACTACCATGGCGTCGATCTATTAAAGAAAATGATATCCACCGTCCACCGTTAAACGTGCAAGTACTTGAATGTTCGTTTCTAACCTTGTTTAGATCAATCCCCGTATTCTGATGCGTAGAATTTTTTCTATAGTTTTTAATTTATTTAAAAAGGTAACCAAAAAAAAAATTCTGTTATGAATTATTCATATAACAAAAGAAACTTACTTTTTTTTCAGTGTCACATTAGATATGAATCACTGATCAGTGTAAAAATTTTAATTTTTAAAATCAATAAAAAAACTAGATATAATATTGATCTAACTCACATAATAATAAATTTAAACTCAATTGATGTAAAAATTAATTATATTTTTTTATTTTTTATATAAAAATTAGAAAAAAAAGTTTATTTGGCAGATTTAGGCGGAGTGCGGTCTTGTGGTGGCCAGTAAAGGCATTACCGACTTTGATTATAGTAAAACCAAAATATCGGAAGTGACCTAAATTAATCCTTAAAAATCTAATGAAAAATATTGAAATGCTGATCTTTAAACGTTATCAATACTAAATTTATTCAATTAATTTTGAATACATATATCATAAAATTATTACATGTTGGATTCCCAATCCATAAGAAAATTCTTTTCTTTTTTTTCAAAAGTTGGTTAGTCGTTGCAATCACAATGCCAAAGGCACAAAATTGGCATAAATATAAAGGAAGAACTGTGCTTGCTAAATCATAAAAGGGTATTAAAAGTAGAAAATGACCTCTTGGGTTCCATCTCCTCTTTAATTAGAGGAATATTGAAGAAGAAGTAATTAAAAGAGGACAAAAACAGAGAGCCAAAAAAAAGAGGCTGGACCCAAACAAGACTTAGCAATGAGTGTTGAAAAGAAAATCCTACCCGTCAAAATTATTTCAATTTCAGAGACAAATTGTCGGTGAAGACGACTAGAGAGGTATCTGCTGAGGTGTCACTACCAACCTTTCTCTGTCCACGTGGCCCATTACAATACGCCAATTAATTGCCAGTTTGGCTCTCCTTCTTGCACTTTGCTACCGACATGCATGGCTCCTACAGGCGAACCATTCCTTAATCTCCTAGATAGAAAAGTCAATTAAATTTGTTTGATAATAATTATTAATTAAAGAGTAGGAGAAATGTCGAATCGCATGCATAAAAGTCTTACCCATAAAGCTATACGGAGATGGGAAAAGACAACTGTGAGATTAATTATTGAAGAATAAATTATACAAAACTTGCAAGAAACGGTTAAGATAGTCTTGATTTTCTTTTCTTTTATTCCGATGCAATATGATAATCAAATTACGAATATTTATGCTGTGGAAAGCTGGAATTAAAATCAATTATAAAGTCTGTTAATAAACAAACGTTGAGTTTGATTTTTATGATTAATATTTTAAAAAATTTATTCTCAAAATATCCAAAATCATATATTAGAAAATATTTCTTGATTAAATCTAAAAAGAAATTAGTTTTAAAGTATATCAAAATTAACACAAAGGTATTTTTACTATTGAAAAAAAAAGTTAAAGAGTTAAAATCCTCTGCTCATTTGGTTTTCACTATTAATGGAAAGTGAAGTCGAAGTTTTGAAGATTTCAAACTTTTCAAATAATTAAAAATATTAACATTTTAAATTGGAGTGTTTAGAGAGGTTAAGACCATTAGATAACACACACATCCTCAATTTTTTATTTAAAAAAAAAAAAAAACTACTTCCTTTCACTAATTAAGAATATTTTGTAATCTAATAACTAATCTTTTTTTTAACCCCTCGTTCCTTCCATTCTCCTGTTAAAAAAAAAAAACCTTACTGTTCCTTATCCTTCATCCATCCAAACACGGTATTAAGATTCTATTTTTAAAAAAATCGGTTTGGTGGTGGGTAATTTTCCCTTGTTTTATATGCATAAGAACACTTAAAGATTGTTTCTTTTACTAAGCAGGACAATTTGTATATATAAAATAAGGCACGAATAATTATAAATTATTCAGAATGATTAATATATTTTACTAAGCAAGACAATTTGTATATATAAAATAAGGCAAGAATAATTATAAATTATTCGGAATGATTAATATCTTTTATTTTGGAATCAATTTTGTATATTAAGATTTTTTTTTTCTGTTCAAATTCTAATCCACATCAAAGCAATAAATTTTTTATTGCGATCCTTTTTAAAGTTAAATTTTGATGATAATGTGAAATACAAACTTAAGTTAATCCTTCAAGAATTGTAATGGTGAGAAATTAAAGTATGTAATTATGAATTTAATTTGGATTAATGTAACAATTCAGCTATGCTATTTATTTTTTATTTTTTTATCGACAGTAATGATTATTTTTACAGATTAGTTAGCACATTAATAAAAATTAAATCTCTTTATTAAATAATATTTTAAAATCGTATTTTTCTCACCAATCTTTTATATTTAGAAAAATAATAGGTTCTCTTGAAGGTGAAAAATAGCAAATTTATTTTAACACCAAACCAACTTATTATAAAATAAACTGAAAGATTTAGATTATTTACTATTTACTATACCATTTGGATTATTTACTATTTACTATACTATTCATACATTCACAAAATTACTATTTATTTACTATTCACTTAGTCTCATGGGTATTGAGGAGTGATAATTTATGATTTTTAGGTTGTATTGAGACATTTATATTCTAATTTTTTTTATATTATACTTTGGTCATTTGTATTTTCAATTTTTTGTTTTTGGTCTTTAAATTTTTTTATATCATAATTTGGACAAAAAAAGGACAGCGCAAACCATGATCAGCTATAATTTCGGCTTCTTTTGTGGCCAATCTTGTATTTATATTATTTATTTTGATTAGGAGAGTATGTTTATGGTAGTTTTAAACCATAAATAATTGAAAGAGGTAGCTCGAAACCTAAAAAATTAAAAAAATTTATTTGATATATGTGTGTATATTGAAATGCTTTTTATTTTTTTCTTTTTTTGATATTTTTTTATTATTGAATTTGATGCAAAAATTATAGAAAATCAATCATTATTTTTTTAGTTTTATACACAGTATCGACAGTAGTAAAATATATATGATATATCTTATATATTAGAATATATATATCGTATTATATTACTCTTATTATTTAAATTTTTTTAATATAATTTTTTTTGTTAATAAATATGATTTATTTTTCTCTATATATGAATTTTTGAATAAAATTTTAAATATAATTATTTTATCTTTTTTTAATGAACATATATATCAAATAAATATGCGTAAATTAATAAATTGAATGCTATACTTTGGATTTATATGGAGCATGCAAACAGAACTGACTGTGATGATATTAAATATTACTAATCACATAAATGACTAAATATAAATAAAATTGGTTGTAGTTAAAAGATTTTTTACATAGGGCTATACCCTAACACATTTCTTTAGTAATTAAAAAATGGAAAGTAACATGATTTGAAGAGATTGGAACAAAAGAAACCTATAAAAAAAAAAAAAACTGTGACAGTGCACGGCGTAACGGCATAATTGCCGTTAAAGTACTCTTCAAGAGACCCACCTCAAATGTGGGCCCTAGTCCCAACGAAATGCCAATCTGGCATGCCAGAAGACAACAATCCAGCCCAAAAATATTCTACTACTCCCTTCCCAGTCCTGCTTAAAAACTGGCACTGTCCTGTTTCCTTCCCATCCCTCCAGCACTTCCTCTCGACCACCACAATGCCACGCCCGCTAATTCTCGTCACTCTCGCTGTCTCTCTCGTCCTCCTTGCCTCCACCACCGTCAATGCGCACAACATCACACGTATACTCGCCAAACACCCTCAATTCTCCACCTTCAACCACTACCTCACACTCACTCACCTCGCCGCAGAAATCAACCGCCGTCAGACCATTACTGTCCTCGCTCTCGACAATTCTGCCATGTCATCTTTAATATCCAAGCAACTCTCTGTTTACACTATAAGGAATGTTCTTTCTCTCCATATTCTTGTTGATTACTTTGGTAGCAAGAAACTCCACCAGATTACTAACGGTACTGAATTGACTGCCACCATGTTCCAAGCTACTGGTTCAGCCTCTGGTGCCTCAGGTTATGTCAATATTACTGATCTTAAGGGTGGTAAAGTCGCATTTGGTGCTGCTGAAGATAACGATGGAAAGTTTGATGCTGTTTATGTTAAATCTTTGGAAGAGATTCCATATAACATATCCATTTTGCAAATCAGTCAGGTTAGTGAATCAATTTGGGCCTTACGAGCCTAGCTAATAAATAGTATTACATAAATTTGGTGATGACGACATGGATATTAATTTAACTGTATATGCACACTACAGCCCCTGAATTCGCCAGAAGCAGAAGCACCAACGGCGGCGCCGACATTGAATGTAACAGCCATTATGTCAAAGCAAGGTTGTAAAGCCTTCTCCGACTTGCTGATAGCTTCTGGAGCTCACACCACATTCGAGGAAAACGTTGACGGAGGTTTAACGGTGTTTTGCCCAACTGACCCCGTTGTCAATGGCTTCATGCCCAAGTACAAGAACTTAACCGCTCCTCAAAAAGTGTCGTTACTGTTATACCACGGAATCCCAGTTTACCAGTCACTCCAAATGCTAAAAACCAGTAATGGAATTATGAACACGTTGGCCACAGACGGTGCCAAGAAGTATGATTTCACAGTCCAAAATGATGGAGAGGAGGTGACGTTGGAGACAAAAGTTACGACGGCGAAGGTAACTGGGACCGTAAAAGATGAGGAGCCGTTGGTGGTTTATAAGATTAATAAAGTTTTGTTGCCTAGGGAGTTGTTTAAAGCGGTTCCGGAGAAAAAAGCACCGGCACCTAAGGGGGAGAAGGAGGTGGCTGATGGACCCGATGCTGAGTCACCGTCAGATGATTCGGATGATCAAACGGCAGATGATAATAACGGGGTCGGTGAAATGGACGGTGGAAGATTGGCTCTGGTAGCATTGAGTTTGTTTTTTGGGGTGGGTATGTTCGTTTGATTTGATTATATTTTTATCACTTGATTTGGATTGAGATATTGGAGTACAGTGTATGGACAGCACATTGAGATGGAGTGATACAATTTGATTTGTTGTAGAAAACTGGAAAAAGATCATAATGGGACCCAATCACTTTGTTCGGTTTGGGTTGGGCATCTTTGCTTTTGTTTGCAAGTATGATTCTCAGTTATTTAATGTGTATAATCATATATAATATCATTTGGTATGTAAATGCATTTTCTCTTATTACACAACCCCCAAACCCCCCCCCCCCCCCACCCAACAACACAAAAAAAAAAAACAGAGCATATCTCTCTCTTTTTTAACAACCAGAAGAACTAATTTCATTAATTTAGAAAATAAGATAGAAATCAAATACAAATCATAAATAAAGAGGATAAGTTTCGGTTATTCATTCTACTATTGTAATAGGTTTACCTATGAACAATTGCCATATTTTTTCTAACAAAAATTGAATTTTTCAAATTTAATATAAACTCTAAACTCGCACCACAAATTATGAAACATACTTAAAATAAAAAAAAACTCAATTATTTATGAAATTTATTTGCTACTTAGCTTATACCACAATCATAATCATGCACCACCAATTTGCAAATCAATATATCAAATTAGACTGTAACACTCTTGACTTAAAGAAGGTCAACAATTTATCGACAATGTCTCAAACTCCTAGCACAATGAATGTGAAACACTAAACTCGTATGTCTTCTATCCGTATAATACACAATAAAATTAAAATCATTTCATTGACCTTTTAAACTTGTTTATACATTAACATTTACCATTGTTAATTAGCCTCGTAATTCTAAACCAATATTTATAGTACACACTTGACGAACTCGACTCGCTCTTGACAACATCTTTAGCTTCACACTATGTCATCATGCATTATTAGCTTACCTACACACTACAAGATAAATTATGACTTAAAACTCGGTAAGTGTAATCATTCATGTATGCAAGAAAATACATTTTTCATGATATTGAAATATATTTTTTCTCTTTTTAAGCGCACTCGTATTGAATGTTTATATATTCAAGCCATAATGAAAAGAAAAACCATAAAAGCCTTAAAATTTCCTACTCCCTCTCCATCTCTAAATCGTAGTTTTCCTTTCTTCTTCTCCCATTTTCTTCTTCCTCTCCCTTTCCTCCTCCGATCGTTGCTACCGCAATTGTTGATCCCACCCGAAATAGCCATAAAACTCGGCTCCTCCATTCCCCAACAACCCTCACCCACTCCAAACTATTTTCTCCCTAAAAAGCCTTAAATTTCCTACTCCCTCTCAATCTTTTCCTAATTGTTCGAAGGTATGTTCTCTCTCTCCCTCTCTCCCCTCCACTCTCTCTCTCATTTCCTACAAAATGTTGTTATTTGTCATATGTTAGGTTAATTCGATTAATTGATTGAATTTTAATTTTATTTATATTTAATTGTTACTTGATTAGATTAATTTATTAATTAATTGGCATTTAAATTAGTTAGGTTAATTTGTTAACTATGGTTAAATTAATTAAGTTAATTAGGTTTGAATTAGGGTTAATTTACTTAGGTTACTTTGAATTATAGTTAAATTGGTTAGGGTAATTTTTTAATTGATTGGTATTTAAATTAATTGGGTTAATTTGTTAATTAGGTTTCAATTAGGGTTAATTTATCGAGGTTAATTTGAATTAGAGTTAAATTAATTAGGTTAATTTGAATTAAAGTTAAATTAGTTAGCGTAATTTTTTAATTAATTGGTAATTAAATTAATTGGGTTAATTTGTTAATTAAGGTTAAATAGATTAATTACACTTTAATTAGGGTTAATTTACTAAGGTTAATTTGAATTATAGTTAAATTGGCTATGCTAATTTGTTAATTAATTGAGTTAATTTGTTAAGTAGGGTTAAATTAATTAGTTTAATTAGGTTTCAATTAGGATTAATTTACTTAGGTTAGTTTGAATTAGAATTAAATTAATTAGTTTAATTTTAATTAGAGTTAATTTACTTAGGTTAATTTGAATTAGAGTTAGATTACTTAGGTTAATTTTTATTAATTGGTTGATTTTTAATTTTATTTAAATTGGAAATTGTTAATTATTTGTTGTTTTAAATTTAGTTAGGTTTGAATTAGATTAAATTAAGGTTATTTGATTTAGGTTTAAATTAATTAGGTTAATTTTGATTAATTTGTTTATTTCTAATTTTATCTATATGATAATTTGTTATTAATTTTTTATTTAATATTTAATTAGGTTTGGATTAGGGTTAATTTAATTATTTTATTGATGATTGTTGAAGTGTGTCGAGATACATCGTAGCGTGCCGGACCCGAAGGGTCGGAGACCCCAAGGAATTGAGAAAAAATAAGATTGGTTTAATGCTCGCGAAGGAGATGAGAGAATGAGTTTGAAATTTAACTTCAATGAAATATCCGAAGTAAGTGTGTGCACAAATTAATTATTGGTTGCTTTAATTTTAATATTTGTGTGATAATTTGAATTATCTATTAATTGGAAAATGTGGGATTTATCGGGGAAACTCTATCAAAATTTTATTTTATTTTTTATGAAAATGATTGATAATATATTTTCAATCCAATTGTTAGTCCTTTATTGTATTGGTTGAATGGTTTTCGGGTGTTATTCTAGATTTATGCCTCGTGGATTAGACAAATCTGGTCTTGATGTCAATGGGCATGGCCTTAATGACAATAATGTCCATGATCTTGGCACTAATACCAATAGTATATGTGCCACGAGATAGAAGCAACTGCTAAGGAACATCGAAGGATGATTCATCATCTCAAAATATGGACATGACCAAGATATATTTGGATGTAGGAGCGAAAAAGAAGTAGAAAGTGTACGGTTTCGGATCATAGGTGTTTCGTTTTACTCCCATTCGGACAATAGCTCCTCCTCTACCACTTAGCAGTATTCTAGTTTAGGAGATTTCGTTCAATACAAAGATATGATTAAGGAAATGAAGATTACAATTCGAGAACAAGCCGAGTCAATTCAACACTTTATAGAGTCGGATGCGGATGTTGATCAAATACTTTACTCTTAGGTTATGCTTGGCGTGAGTAAAAAACGTGAGAAGTTATCCTTCTAATTTTTCATCTATTTAACTTATGTTTGAAATGATTTTTCCGGTTTTTATGTTTTTCCTTCTCTTTTTTAAAATTAACATTATCTCATTCTTTTTTTCCCTTCCATTCTATTCATATTTTTTTTATCATATTTAATTTCAAATCGATTTTATTTATAGAAAAAATAATAATAAAACACTTGTTCGAGTATCTAATTTGAGTTGGAGAATATATATATATATCATATATATATATATATATATATAAAGAAAGAAAAGCAGATAGAGATGGATTTTCATGATTTTTTTTTTTTTAATGAATGAAAATTTCATTCATAGAAAATTACTCAAAGGGCAAGGCGCAATACAAAGTTTTGATAGAAAAGGCCGAATAGCTTTAAACAAAGTTCAGTAAAAAATCCTAACAAGCAAAGGTGGACCCTTCGTTTTGAATAACGACCATCGCAGAACAACGTCGTTAACTTTGATGGCTTTTCTTTATTATTATTGGGCTGCGCACGCCCAGCCCAGCATGGGCGGGCTTCATTTTTTCATAAGCTGGGACAATTGTCCTATGAAGACTCCAGAAAATTACTTTATTAGCCCTCACAGAAGAAAAACTGATTCTTCAAGACTCCTTCCCCGCTCTTGTCACGTGGAAGTACTACAGGATAAAAAACTGCAAAATCGCAAAATCCAATCCAATTTATTGTAATCAATTAATTAACCTGTTGGTTAACTATAGTTTGAAACACGAAAAAAAATCATTAGCTTATCAAATTTCCATGACAAAAATTCAACAAATTAAAGACAGGAACAAATCCAGTAACTCACATATTAATAAATTACTCCACTCCAATCGAATCGAATTTGACTCACTTTTGCTAACTCTCTGGTGGGTTCCTTAGCTTTTTTTTTTTTTTCCTTATAAATCTTGAAAAATTAATTTTTTTCAATAAGTTTGATCGAATATTTTAAATATTCTTGGGATACCATTCCATGTATATAAACCTCTTTTTTATATATATAAAAAAGAGAAGAATCAAGCGGTTTCAAGGTTTATAAAATTTTACCTAATTTATGGGAATAATCCACATTGCATATATTAAACATCTTTTATGTATACTTTTTGTCACTTGAAAGGAAAAATGTGAGTGCAAGGTCTATGTATATACGGCCTTTAAGAGTAGTAACTTCATATAGCTCACATTGATTTCACCTATACGTTTAGAAATTAATTATTATTTGTTTGTTTCTTGATGCAACCTATAAAAATAAATGTATAAGACAATTTTTTGCCCAAATATATTAGAATGGTAATTTGTTAAGTATAGACAGTACGTAGGTAATATAGAACGCGTAATAAAATAAATCACTCTTTTAGGGGGCGTTTGTTTTCAAAAAAATAATATATTTTTAGAAAAATCTTTGAAAGGGAAAACATTTTTTTGAAAAAATAGTTATTTCCAATGTTTTAGTGTTTAATTTCCAAGGACAAACATTTGTTGATGTTTGGTGTGAATGGAAAAATGAATGCAGAAAATGAGCAACTAAAGTCTTTTTGAGAAAATACGCAGTTTCTAACTTTTTTTATTATTTATTTTTCTAATGTATAGAGAGCTAAAGACATTTTGTTAGGGATTTTTTTTTAAAAAAAAACATGCTTAATTGATGTGATGTATGTGGATCCTAAGTGAGTGATAGTATGTGATGGCCACCATTTTTTTTAAATTATTTATTGATGCAGGGCTTAGTTTAATATTAGTACGTGATAATCATAAAATATTTTATGCTTTTGATAAGAGAAAATTTTCAAACTTTAAAAGCTATTTTTAGTTTGACTGCAAGTCATTTTAGATTGATCAATTTTTTTTTTTCAAAACTCGCGAAACATG